CCCCCTACACGTAGGCTACATGACAGCTCTCTCGGCCGTCATGTGAATGCCGCGTCACGCGAAAGCTTAGAAATTCAAGCGTACTCTATTACAAAACCAAGAGCCCATTTGGAGTGAAAATTTATATGAATATTAGTTTTCAGCTGCTCTTATACATCATGAAAGTAACATCTCAGGAGGATCAATAGTTTTGTAGTTTGAATTTTAGTGACGTCATGTGAAAACCCCCAATTATTGCCACAGACTCCGTGGCACTTAATGAAACCGACAATTAATTTCATCAGTCTTTGAGGTGACTCTCTCACCCAATGTAGGATATAATTTCGACCAAGTAATGATCTTTACCTTCAATACTTCCCGTTGAAACGCTCCTCAGTTGTATTAATCGATAGCATTGTATATCAGTTTTGACGTGAGGAAGAACGCACTATCCCGTGGACGTGACTATTTTATGATTAGATTAGTTCTTGTTTATCTGTGAAATGAAAATTTGCAAAATCGTTCCTCTTCGATTTTTCATCAGATATTTAGATTTATTCCATTTATCTCCAGCAGTAAGCAAAAAATACACATCTTTCTTATATTTTCGAGGTAACAAGGGTTTTATGTTACATACCTTGGCGTGGAGAACAAAGGTATCATATTTGCTACTTCTGCGTCTTATTGATTTAAAATGACTGAAACTCAGTGTAAAACACCACAATAAAATTCAAAGCCGTCTTGACAAACGGTAATTGTAAGTTATTTTTGGGCCTTGAAAGAAAGTACAAACATGAAACTTACACAATGCTAAGATTACGTCTTATCAAGTTTTTGTCCGCTCATATTCTGCAAGGGTAAAAGGCCTAGTTGACTACCAAGGGAGAGAACGGCATGGGTGAGGACCTATGTGACTACTGTATCAGAGCCGTTAATTGCACTCTGCACTATCTGAGATTGTCTCACTAGTTTCTTTTTTTTTTGTTCATAGGAGTTGAAAATTTCGTTAAGCCCTCCCCCGGATCTTGTGGTGAGTTCAATCACAACTCTGAAGAGTTACTACACGGGAGACACAATGAAAGTTCAGTTTATTGTCTCAAACGAAGGACTCGGAGAGCCGTTTCATTATTGGTGGAGAGACTGCGTGGTGAGTAAGGAATATAATCATGATGGGATCTTCGACTCGAAAAACTGGTCAAAATTGTTTAAAAAAACCTCTCAATTTGTATTGAGATATTTCACTGACGTCTCACCTTTTAAAATCCTTTTTTCAGACCATCACTCACATTCAATCGATGAACACGAAAGTTCTCGGCAGAACCAGTTTTTCCGGATTGTTTCCTCCGTGGTCGACGTATACAAGGACTGTGTATCACTTGATACCTGCCAGCTGGCCCACTGGGCAATACAACATCACTGTTTATACAGACTATTACAACGACGTTTTTGAGTTTATCTTTAATGATAACAACGAGAAAACAGTGCAGGTAAATGTCACGCAACGGCTACCCGATCTCACCGTGACGGATGTCAACGTTTCTACCACCGCTGACACTGTGCAGGCGTACGTTAGGATCTCTTTTTCAGTGGAGAACGCTGGAGCAGGAGATACAATAGAAGCGCCTTGGTATGACACAGTTTATCTCTCACCGCACGTTAATTTTCTACAAAGGGATGCACTGTGGCTGGGAGATTTCCCTCACAGAGTCAACCTGGCTTCAGGGAAAGAGTATAATATGGATACCGGACTGATCAGAGTCAGCAGGGATGTGTTTGGGGAGCGGTTCGTTCACGTTATAACAAACACGTATGGAACAGTCTCTGAACAAAACGTAAAGAGCAACATCAGAGCTTCTGGAAATGTGACTCTCCCACTAGTTCAACCGGATTTGGTCGGGATGCACTTCACTCTGGAGTCTACAAAGGAGCCCTTGATTAGCGATTCCCAAGTGTTGTTGAACTGGACAGTTGAAAATAACGGGACAGGAAGTACTCTACTCAAATCCTGGCATGACACGGTTTATCTCTCAAGTTCCCCAACTATTGAAAACAACTCGACCAAGTTGACTAAAGTTTTTTTCGATAAACAATCACTAGGTCCGGGAAGGAAGTACAACCACGTTTCACTTGTCAAGTTACCGTCAAACATCACCGGAACAAACTTCCTCGTTTTAAAAGTCAACGAAGGCGGCTCTCTGGCTGAAAAGGACGCAAAGACAAACAACTTAGCATGGATGCGCGTAAAAATTCTGCCTGCACCCTTGCCAGACTTAGCTGTCGTCGATACATCTTTTGTTTTTGAAGAAGAACGTCGTTTTCTGACAGTTTACTGGTCTGTAGCAAACACTGGCAGCTGGATGCGTAAGAGTGCCTCTTGGCTGGATAGAGTGATTGTCTCGCCGTCAAGAGGCGTCATCGATGGCAAAGATGCGCGTGTTTTAGTATCTGAACGCGTGACTGCTAAATTAGATGAACAACAAGAGTATGGACTATCCGTGGCGTTACAGATTGATAACAGCATCAGAGGAAAGTTTTACGTGCACGCGGTTACAAACGCAAATAAGAACTTGTCTGAAGTTCCAGGCGTTTTAAATAACGTCCGCTTGGCAAGGCAAATTCTTTCTGTTCCGCCTCCCCTTGCGGCTAAGTTGGTCTTGACTATTATTTCAAGTTTTCCGTCTCGGATGACCTTAGGAACTCCTTTCCCTATCGCGTTTCGTGTGCAGAACGTGGGGTTTGTAACAACGAAGAAAACCTCGTGGACTGATGCGCTTTATGCTTATGGAAGGAAAGGCGCAAACAGAACAGAGGTCATGGAACAAGGGACAAAGTTAAAAGAGTTTCCTCACATTGGCACATTAGCAGCTCAATCGTTTTACGAAGTAAGATCCAATGTCTCCATTCCACGTGGGTTTGATTCTTCAGCTTTCATCTACGGCTTTGCAGATATCCACAGTCCCTATACACCACCAGACATAGATGAGGGTAACAATGGCGCACAACCTAATGTCACGCAACCTAATGTCACACAACCTAACGTCACACAACCCACAGTGACGCCGACAGCACCAACCGGCATTATTATCACCGAAGGTCTCTTACCAGATCTGCAAGGATCGCTGGGAAGCATAAAAGTGGAAACCCGTGGTGGCCAGCCATTAAATGTGACTTTCAACGTAACAAACGCAGGAGAATTCTCTGTACAGGGAGCGTGGTACAATGCTTTGTACCTCAGTCAAGACCTGTTGATCGATCCATTTGACCTGCGACTTGCGACTGTGAGAGCAACTTATCTTTCCGTGAACAACACGTTGTCGTTGAGCGCCGAGGTTTTCATTCCGTTTGACACTCTTGATTCGGAGTATTACCTGCTATTGTTGGTGGACAGTAAAAACACTATCTGGGAAAGTGACGAACAGAACAACGAGGCTTCCCTGCTAATAAAGATCAACAAGACATTCAGTAGCGACTTAGCTGTTTTATCTGTTTCCTCGTCCAGTGGTCAGTTCTATTATGGTGAAGGTAAGCTTTTGAGAAATTTTAGGCTAACAATGTCCCGAGAGAGACTCCTATGTGAAAAGGTCGGCGATGCTCCTTGTCTCGCTTAGGAGTGTAAATCAAGGACTTTGGTCTCACATAGAGTGTTCAGTTCGAAAGCCACTATTTGTAGCCGTCAAAGTATCTTTTACAGTGAACTCGAAGAAACAACAATAATAAAAAAACGGCTGTCGTGTCGGTATATTCCTCGTTATAGTCTTCCACGCAGATGCTCTTTGGGCTCGTCACACAATCTTTCCGGAGTGAGTGATGAGTCACGAGAAACGTCTACGTACGAGGCTAACCTCGGTATTACCTTACACAATTTTTTCAGATGTCACCGTGAGCTGGAAGATAAGAAACAATGGAAGCCAACCGGCCGAGGGTTATAAATGCGATACCGTTTACTTGTCACAAGACGACTTATGGCAGATAGAAGACGTGAGAATTGGGAAACCAATCTGTTCTTACGTCATCCTGAATCCTTACAACGGAGGCGCTAACAAAGACACTGCTTACTCTATAACAAGCGAACTACCGCTGACAAGCTTGGGACAATATCGCAGTCTTGTGAAAACTCGAAGCAACATTCTAGACCAAAATCACCAAAACAACATTGCTGTCGGACCGAAAAACTTAAATGTTTCTTTTCCAAGACTTCCGTTAGATGGCTGTACGAACGTTACCTTAAAGCCGGGCGAAGACTCGTCATACATTGTTGACAACGTCCCGGATGAAAAGACGCTCATTGTTACCATAAATAGCAACATTACTGATGCATTCCATGAATTGTTCGTGAGGCACTCCAAACCGGCAACCCCTTACCAATATGACGGGGGATCAAAATTTGCTCTGTCACCTGACCAAGAGGTAGTAATACCTGAAACGATTGCGGGGGAATACTATGTTCTGATGAAAAGATATGATACTTCTTCATCCGACCAGACTAAAAAGGCGTCTCAGCTGTGCGCGCGCATTGCAAAGTTTGAAATCAGTCGTGTATTTCCTAATCAAGTAGCTCCACTGGGAAACGCCACCCTGCGCTTTGAAGGAACTTTGTTTGGACAAAAGCTAGAAGCTTTTCTTGTGAATGTTTCCTCTGATGAAGATTTCATCAGAGCAGATCAAGTCTATCGAATGGGTTCAATGGAAGTGTACGCTACTTTCATCACGACAAATCTAACCGTTGGTGCAACCTTCCACGTTAAACTTGTCAACGCAGAATCAAAAGAAGAAGCGTTACTGGAACGTTCTTTGGTGGTAACGCGCGGTGAACCTGGACGGTTAGAAACGCACGTTGACTTTCCAGAAGTGCTGCTAGTGGATTCGTCCGGGGTGATAACATTGTCGTATGAAAATGTCGGCGACACTGATATTTTATGTCCCCTGTTATCACTTAGTGTCAGTGGGGGACAGACACAGCTCCGRCCTGCTCAAAAGGATAGACAAGCGGCTCAATTGTCTTCCGCTGTTATGTTTTTAGCGCAACCGATTCAAGGCCCAGGTGGTATTTTACCTCCAAAGGCTTACGGGGAAATAGTATTTGATACCGAGTCAGGTGGAGGCGAAGAAGCGCAAGCGACATACAGTGTTCAGATGTTGTTTGGAGGCGATGAACCACACGCTTATATAAACAGCAGCAAAGACTTGAAGCCGGAGTTTTTGAGCGATGAACTGTGGTCTCCAGTTTGGAACAACTTCCTGGTTTCTGTTGGTAAGTCGGCGTCTTCGTTCCAGCGCAGGATGTCAGCGGTCAGTACCTTGCTGAGCATGTCAGGAAGGAGAGTCAACTCGTTGACTGATCTTGTGCAGTTCCAACTTGATGTGGCCAATGGCAAGCTGAGCGGTAGGTTTGTCCCTCAGATTATTTCATATCTTTCAAAGGAAACGCGTTTTTGAAAGCAGAAGCTATTTTGTCTTCAATGAAATCAATGAAACTAAGGCCCCATCCACACTACGCCAGAGGTATTTTAAAAACGGAAGTTTCACTTTTGAAAACATATCAAATGATTTCCGTCCACACTACACCGGACGATTTTATAAACTCAAAAATCACCGGTCATTTTGGATTTCTGTTCGAGAAAATCTCGGTCAGGGAAATCACATGATTATCGCTACGCCATCGTTTTCGAAAAGCTCCCGTTTTGAACGCAAAGCCAGCATTTTCAAATTCCTCCGGTTTGAAAAGCTCCGTTTTCTTTACGGATTAGTGTCAATGGTAGGCCTAACTGTAGAAATAAAGCTGCGTGGTGTGGACGAGCCTAATTGTAGGTTTTTGAAGTTTTTTCCACTTATTTTTTAATGGGATCTATTGTCTAACAAGAACGCAGCTCTGTCATCTTATTTGGCCTATTAATGTCAAGACAACTTCGCAGTTTACGTTCAGAGCCGCTCGTGTATTGCTATTCCATTTTTGCACGTGCTAGAAACCCTTAATTCTTTCAACGAGATACAGGTATATTTCAGAGGACGCTATATCAAAACAATTAAGTACAGTACCAGTCAAATGCAAGTTGGCAGTCACTCAAAACTCAAACGAGTCGACCCGATCCTCCATCCTTAAAACTCGAAAGCATTGAAGGTCCAGGGTCCAGGGTCCAGGGTCCAGGGTCCAGGGTCCAGGGTCCAGGGTCCACGGTCCACGGTCCACGGTCCAGGATCAAGTGTCGAGTCCAGACTGTCAACTTACATTTGGTCGGTACTTTATATATGGCTTATTTCCTAAATGCTCTTTTAAGGTTCTTGCCCTGTTATTTGCAATGGATGTATGTATTTTACTCTAAACTGATGTTTTACGTTTAAGGTGACCCACTATTAGCGCAGGATGACTTAAACGACCAATCCACATTAGATGGTACATTGCCTTTGGTCTTACAAAGAACGTACAGCCCTCTTCTTTCCAAACGAAGGGACAAGGGCGTTTTTGGAATTGGTTGGATGGCGTCGTGGTGGTAAGAAAGTCTTCGAAACAAATCGTATCAATCAACAACGATTTTTGTTTTTAAAGAACAGTCATTTTGACAAAGCTTACTAAAAGGAAGTCAACAAAACTTACACTGACGTAAAAATTCTTTCCTCCTAAGGGCAGCAACGTTCACCTATCTTGTATAGGAGTAAATTTAACCCTCATAAATTTAAACGTTTTATCAAGTTAACATTTGTATCTTACAGGCCTATTTCACAATCTGTGTTTTTTTTCAATTTTAACACTAATATATTGTTAAATTACTAGTTTAACTCGGAAATTAAGCACATGCGTAGTGAACGGGCTGTAACAATTTGCCGGCCGCTGTAAGAACATCTCAAAAAAGGGCCGTTAACTTACGAAGAAAATCTGATCGCAAGTTGCTCTACAGAAGCCTTTGATTATATTTTCAAAGTTATTTCGTAATGAAGTCTTAAGCTCACCTCAACGTATCTCTTGAAACATAAAAATTTGGTCCCAGAATCTATCTTAAGGTAGCTTAAAGATCGACGTGGAATACATATTCCTACATGGCATTGAGCGGGTTTAAAGAGGAAGAGTCATGTTTGATGCATAATATATCATACCAAGAACCCAAATAGAATTTATATATTTTTTTTTTTCACGATGAATAACAATGATCAGGAGCAGATTTGTTTCTCAGTACTCTTCATGATCATCTTTATCCTGATTGTGATGTCTTTTATCCACTCACTAAAATCAGGGAAGCTAAAGTAACGCTGATTACACCAGAAAGAATTAAGATTGTTCGTTTACGCGAAGAGCTAGTATTTGAGGCAGGTGCAACTGGGCTGTACATCCCACTCGATGGAAAGAAACTCACTGTTCACGACACAGGTGCGACACGCTCGTTCTTTGACTCAAATTATGACACAAGGATCTTTTCACAAATGTCACACTAAAATGCCGTTTCTTTCAATTGGTTTCCAGAACTCTATTTCACCGACTTTAGCATCTCTACTGTGTTTATATTTGACTCCGTCATGAAACATCTAAAAAAGATCCAAAGGGGTAACGAGACGATCACCATTGAGTATTTGCAGAACAGATCCTCGACTTTCAAGCATTCGTCTGGTGGAAAAATAACTGTGAAATACAACGACAAAGGATTCCTTCGCGAGGCTCGATTAAAAGATGGAACCGGTAACGAACGAAGATGGTGAGTTTGGTTTTTCCTCGCTTGAAATGTTTTTGTATTTGTTCTTATCCTAATGTTCCCAAAGTTACTTACGACAGTCATGTCTTCTTTAAGTTTTGGGGGTTGTAAAGACAGTATTCTCCTCTTTTATGAGGTCATACGGTACAAAATTCAGGGATGTTGGACACAAGCCAACACAAAGCCTGGCTCTTAACACTACTGTACCTGAAGCAGAATTAACGGGTTTTTTTCTATCTCTGTTCTATTCTGCAGTTTCTACACTTATGATTGGAACACAGCAGCATTGCTGTCCGTGAGCGTGGACGAACAAACTACGCGTTATACCTACAGCTTTTACGGTGACCTGACAAGTATTATTTACCCTACTTCGACTACTGTCAAGTATTCTTGGAACCAGTATGGATTCCTGAGTAATATAACAGGTTATAACCGGGAAAACAAGTTTGTTCAGGGAATGTATTTCTCTTACGACTGGAATGGTAAGGTTGCTTTGTCCAGACTCCCTCAAGGCGACTCGGCCGTGCTGGTGTTTAATGAAGATGCGAGAATGATGGATATAGTAGGCGAAGGTTTTAGCGGTGTACGGTTTGACAGTGTTAAAAATGATGACCAGGTTGTGCGAATCATCAAGCAAGGAGACCAGGTACCGAGATATTTTGAATGACAGTGATTTTATTCATACAGTTGTAATGTAAGGGTAACTTATTTCAGCCCTCAGGGTTAATTTGTCAATTTTACATTCCTGGGAAGTTTGTACATACACTTAATTTGATACTGC